CTGCCGACACGCAGCAGAGCCACCCACCAAAGGGCTACAACTTCCGATCTACACCACCACCCTTCCACCCAAGACAGAGAGGAATTGGAGATCACCCCGGCGTTCTGATTACCCCGTCCTGCTCCGACTGCCTGGGCACCCAAAGCTTGTACACCCCCCCAGTCACACCGCCTCTCCGTCACCACAACTGGGCTCTGCTGCTTCGCTACGAGCTCAGGGCTGAAGAAACCAGGTACGGGCAGAAAAGCAGGCGCAGCAAGCATCTTCTCCTAACCCCTCCCTCCAAGAGGCAAGATTAAGGGGCTTCGCCAAAGCACAGTTACACGCAGGGGGGTAAGAGCGGGTGCAGCACTGCTTGGCTCATACCCTGGCACAGGAGGAAGCCATGAGCCGGCTGGCAACTCCGACCACTACGTCCCGTGCAGCTGCAGGAATCCACTCGAAAGGGAGAGAGAGACACCCCCAAAAGGCCTGTGCTGCAGGGCCATGTTTGCTGGGAACCTTTACCAGTCCGAGCAGCAGAGGGGCAGCCGGCAGCTGCACGCGCAGGGTAACGCACCAGGCCTTTGCCCTTCGGTCCGCCCCGCATTTACGTGTGGGGAGTCGGGGTCTAGCGGGGAACCTTGCGGGTTTCAGTCCCGAGAAGGCTCAAAGCTCAGCAAACACAAGTCTATCAGCAGCAGAAGTAGCGGAGAAGCTGACCTTATCCTGTCACTAGTCCCACTGTACCCCCAGCGGCTTTCCACCTGCTGGAATCGGCTGATGCTGCACTCCTTCCCTCGCAGGCAGCAGCGCGGTCTGTCGATGAACTCCACCCGCGGCTTGGGGTTCACCGTGAAGTGGAGGAACAGGCTCACCACCTCCCGGTCCGTCAGGATCCCCGACTGGGCAGGCCCTGCAGAGGAGCACGAAAGCAGCGACGCAGTCAGCCTTCGGAAAGCAGAAGGGCTCCTGCTGGGATTTACCTGGGGAGGCAAACCTGACTGGCAGCTGAGTGCGGGCCAAAGCCACAGCCCACGTGGGAGCTGGTGTGTCAGGAAGTTAAACCCCGGGCAGAAACGTGCTGCCTGCCCTTTCTCCGCAGGCCAGCCGCAGCCTGCACGGCCTCCGACCGGAGTGCACGCGTGAAGCGGTGACTAAGCACACGGCTCCACGGGGCTGAAATGTGTTTGGCTAACAGACTGGGTTTAAAAACCTAAAACCTTCAGCTAGTTCCCCCCCCTGCTCCCCCAGGAGACGGTAACACTGATACAAGACAGGGACTGTCACACGGCTCCACCGGGATTTTACAACATCACTGTTCAGACATCAGGGCGGCCTGGGAGGGGCAGTGGGAGGGGTAACACCCCGCCACCATCAACTTATAGAATCACAGAACAGTTTGGGTTGGAAGGGACCTTAAAGCCCATCCAGTTCCAACCCCCTGCCATGGGCAGGGACACCTTCCACTAGACCAGGTTGCTCCAAGCCTCATCCAGCCTGGCCTTGGACACTTCCAGGGATGGGGCATCCACAGCTTCTCTGGGCAACCTGTCCCAGTGCCTCCCCACCCTCTGCGGGAAGAATTTCTTCCTGATATCCAATCTAAACCTCCCCACCTTCAATTTAAACCCATTACCCCTTGTCCTGTCACTACAGGCCCTTGGGAAAAGTCCCCCCCAGCTTCCTTGTAGCCTGTTCAGGCACTGGAAGGCTGCAGTAAGGTCTCCAACTTCCAAAGTGCAGGAGCATTTGTCAGTCAAGACAAAGGTGGTTCGGGTCACGACCTGCTCCGATGGCCTCCTTCCCTCAGGCATTTCATCCCCGCTCTGGGGTGGTTCGGGGTTTTTAACGTCTTGTTGCTTGTTACTGCAGACCCAGGGAAAACAGCTGGGGGGTTGAGTTCTCATCTGTACTCCAGAAACTAGAACTGTTTTTCCAAAGTGAAGCTAAACTCATCCTTTGGAAACTACTTTGAATCCTTTCAGAAGTGGAACCGGGTGAAAAATAGTCTTTTAGCTGTACTGGGCTTGGGGGAGGGAGAGATATTTTTGTAGTGGGTGGGGGCTACAGGGGGAGCTTACAAGGGGAACTTGCCTCAGGCTGTGGCCGAGCCCATCAGTGGTAGCGCCCCTGGTTAAGGGGAAAAAACCCTCATACTGCTGGGGATCCAGCTGCAGAGAGAGGAGTGGGATGTGAGAGACACCAAGGCAGCCCCCCAGGTCAGTGCAGAAGGTGGGGAGGACGTGCCCAGAGCAGAGGTCCCCCACAGTCTGTGGGGAGAGGGCAGGCTGTGCCCTGCGGCCATGGAGGGTCCTGGGGAACAGAGACCTGCCTGCAGCCCAGGGAGGAACCTGTGCTGG